TGTCTTAAGTGTCATTTGGCTTGGCTTCCTATTTTGTATGGACATGCTTTTATTTTGAAGGAGAGTTAGCGCTGTTGACAGGCAGTTGTTGTTGCTATGGAAACAACGTGACGGAGATTAACCGAGACAAGTCATCTACACATAAAGACGGAGAAAGTAAACGATAACGTTTATGGTTAAGTGTTAGCACCCACCGAAGAGGCACAAGCTCTTACGTTGATATTAGAGTTTTCAATAAATTAAATTTGGCAGCCGCAGTGCAAATGAATGTCCGAATAACGAAATTGAAACCCGAATAGTACTCCATTGAATGACTATTCAGATACAGCCCGTGTGTGTGTGTGTGTGTGTGTGTGTGTGTGTGTGTGTGTGTGTGTGTGTGTGTGTGTGTGTGTGTGTGTGTGTGTGTGTGTGTGTGTGTCTGCAAACTGTCTGGAATTCATAGCTTTCAAGGGAGTGTGAAGACGAGGCTGGGAACATTCTGCATGAGGGTAAAACAAAAGAATTATGACTTGAGTGAGGGATGGGTATCGAGAACCGATACCCATGGATGAATGGTGAGCGGTATTTGAGTAATGTTACAGTTAATGAGAAAGCTAATTATTTGCTGAAGTTTAGACTCTTTATTCACTGAATATTGATCAATTAGAAGCAGCATTGAAGGAGCTCAAACCATTTAATAAGGTTGAGTTTTATAATAGCAGTTCATGTATATCTCTGATTATCTTAAATTGTAGTTGTTTTGGTAGCACTAGTAGTACATTTGCACTGGGTGCACCTTTACCTCCAGTTTCTCTGATACACCCTCAGTCACATCAGTGTAATAATGATACTATTTCACGCAATCTGCAGGCCACAGATGAAAAGCCCGTTTTATAATAAAGGAAATATATTCCATTTGACCACAACAGCTGACCCCAAAATAAATTGTTTTTTCTGTGTATGTTCAAGAGTTTCTCCAATAAGGAATTCCACCAACAGTTGACCCCACTGTACACAAAAGGAAAATTACTTGTGTGTGTGTGTGTGTGTGTGTGTGTGTGTGTGTGTGTGTGTGTGTGTGTGTGTACCCGAGCACATTCTTAGCAACAAAAAATCCAACAACTGTCCCAATTGACTAAATCTAATCTATGAGGTTTACTTCAGTGTGTGTCTTTGTGTGAGTGTGTGATATTCACCCTAAATTCACCCTGCAACCAAATCAAACATGATGGACTGGGATATTGCAGAGGCAACACCTGGGGTCAGTGTGTGTGTGTTTGTGTAACAATAAACACAAGGTCGTACATAACACATTTCAATCACACTACTCCCCAAGGAGATGAGGAGAAGGGGTTATGGGAGCAGGTGCATGCATCAAATAAGTATAGATGGAAAGTGGGACAAAAGAAAGAAAGAGTGAGAGCGAGGATCAGATGGCCGCTTGTGTACATAAGAGAGAGTAAAAAAAGGATTAAAGCAATGCCTAAGAAAGTGAGTAATTGAAGAGGGTCATCCTGAGAGGGGGATAAAAAGAGAACAAATTGTGTGAAGGAGAAGCAGGTGAGGGTCTATACCAAAATGGGATTAAAGGATGACCAACATTGTGAGCAAAAATGAGTGTATGGAGAAATGGAGACAGAGACAAAAAGATCTGTGGAAAAAAGAAAGAAAACCGAGTGGTGGAGATGAAAGTGAGAAACAGAGCGGATAAAGAGGGAGGACGGGGGGGAAGCAGCTGGAAAGAGAGAAGTGTGAGTGTACTCTGCTCTGCCCCAAATCACAACAGTTGTTCAGGGGGAAAAAATCATAAATTTTAGTAAACTTGCCAGTTGAGGTAGTTTACCTTTAAAAATGTATGAATATTTATTTTCACAAATGCTAGAATATGATGTATTGTGCTGTATTTGCACATTATGTTGGTTTCCCCATCTACCCACAGGTGTGTGCAGCCCCCCCACAGAGAATGAGAGAGGAGGCTCAGCTGCAGGGTCAGAGAGCAGAGAAACACACAAACAATAACAGACCAAATGGGAATAAAGCAATTTCCCAGAAGTCCCTATCCAGTGTATGCAGATGTGGCCATTTGCAAATGTGAACCGTCTACTGTAAAAGCTCAGTTGTTTGTCTGTAATAGACAAACAACTTCTTCATTATCTGGTCTCCTCAATGTTATATGTTATATTTAAACCATGATATTTATCTATTGGCTGTAATTAACCTTTGTGAAACAAGAGAAGAAGGTATTACAAAACTGCAACATGTCAAAGAAATGTTTGTGAATATAAAGCAACTGTAGTGAATATGGAGTATCTGGATGCTGGAGTCTTTGTGTTGTATTTTGCTCTTTTCATCACTTTAAAAGCCTATCTTTTTACAGCTATGGATACAGATATGTTTTACCTGTTTATAATGCAGGGAATGTGGGTATCAAAATCAATAATGTAGACAGGAAGTGATATCAAGTGTGGGCAGCCAAGGTAAATGTAGAATACGTGTGACGGTTTTCATACCAGAACCATTGAGTTTGTCCTTATCAATTGTGACACTTACATGACCAAAGAAGAACAGGTGCTATCGATTCAAGAAGGAATTCAAGCTGCAGTAGCCAAGCCGGTGAAAGGGAAAAAATAGCTGTTTTCCAAGGGCTTCAATGCTTGATAAAAGGGAATTGGTATATTCATCTTTGACTCTAGTGGGATATTTGTGTTTACAAAGAAAACAACAATGTTCCTTATGGTATCTAAACTCATAGATGACACGGTGAAGAAGTGGTTAGCATCATCACCTCACAAGACAGGTTAGGCACCACTTGCTAGCTGTTGCCTTCCTGTGTGAAATGTGTGTGTTCTCCCTGTCTTTGCAAATGTGGCATGCATGTTATATGAATTGGAGACATGTGGTTGTAAGTTTGAGTATATGTGTTTGTTCTTGTTTATTTATAACTGCTAGCCAAATGTCAGTTTAGAGTAGTGACCCTAGTAAGGGGGTTCATCTCCATATCCACTACTGAGTGGAACAGGAGCACTGTGATCAAATCTCACTAAAGAAAGAGAATAAGAATATATGTTACTGCTACTTTGAGCTGCATGCCACACAAAGTTAGATTTATCTACAACTGGCTCAATATTAAATCAAGAAGCAATGCTATAATAATATACACTTAATTATGTAGTGTAGTAAAGCAAGACACCGCACAGGATAGAATAACACAAAAATTGACTCTACTATGTATTTTCTTTCCAATTAAAAGCATGTGTTCCTAGAATTAGAATATTGGCGTGCGGGAAGGATCTCAAAAGGCAGAGTAATATGTAGGATTCAATTATCTAAAAGTAGGGCAGACAGTTGGATTGACAGAGTCAACTGAGGACAGAAGGGCATTTTTCCACCAAGATTTCAAGAAATACGTTTCCAAAGATTTAACCTGTAGGGAGTAAAGATGTTTTTTAGAGTTCTCTCAAATAACAGTTCTTTACTGGAAACCAGACAGTGTAAAAATGTAAGCCACAGAGGGAGGTTAGAAGGAGCGTAGTTAAGCTACCATCAGTATTCACATAACTGGTATTTTATCACAAAAGCCTAAAACTACCATCTTTCTTTTACTCTACCAATCTCATTTATCTTTAATCTATTATATTCTCCTTTTCATTTTCCCCATACCGTTACTCTATATTTTACCCCCTCTCCCATCTTTTTTAACCACATATAACATCCACTCACTTTAACTACTTTCCTCCGGTTTCCTCTTGTCATTAGCAACAAAGAAACTAGATGTCACCACTTTCTTGTCTTTCCCAAATATCAAACATTTCTTATTCTCCTTTACTTCTTTCCTCAGACCTTTCTGCTTTTCATTATTCCCACTCTATTTCAAAAGAAGTGTCCTCAGTTGGTGAACATCTTCTTGACAGATGAGGCCTATAGAAGGATCAACAACAAGGTAGTTGTGTTTTTCCTTTAAAAAAAAAAACGTTCGTACATTTAAGAAGAGCTGTGTTTGCAGCATACCTTTTAGACGTGAAAGTGACAACAATTTGCTTGACTGTTTATTTACAAAGACAACAAACGTTCTACTTGTAATGCACTCAAAAGGTATCAAAATGAAAGCACTTGCTATAAAATAAAATATGTTATTATATAAATGATTACAGT